TTAAGGAATTTTCTAACCTGCATAGTTCAGGTTTATTAAATATGTTATTTTGTAATAAATTTTTATAGAAAAATGTATAAAGTAATATGTTATTTTTAACACTAATACCATATTTAGATGATTTTTATTGGATAATTAATAATTTTAAAGTCAACTTTTATTTTTTCTATATAAATTAATTACAAAAAAATATAATTAATATCAACTTTATTTATACTCTTAAAGTACAGATTAAACAAACTTTTAAATTAGACCAATTTAAAAAACTGTTAGATAATTGGACATAACGTGGCACTAAATTTTTGACCAAGTAAAATTTTATGACTTACGTATAACTAAATTTAATTGAGTAAAACATCAAAAGTTTAAATCAGGTATTTCAACACATTTTCTTCAGAAAAATTATCCCCCCACCCGCTGTCTTCACCCCAGCTGGCAATAATTAATTTGGGAGAGCATCAGGTTAAAAAGGGGGTCAATTTTAATTGTCAATTTCGTTGGCAGTGTTTCCGATCCCTTACTGGCTCTAATTCCTTTCACCTTTCCATAATTAAAGCTAATTAAAATCCTAACTACTAAATTAGTTTAGTTATTGTTGAAAATATCAAGGCCAGAGAACTAACATTAGGAAAATAAACGAATCCAGCTACTAACGAATTACTTATAGTACGAGAATTCAATCAAATTTGATGGTGTTTTAGTTTAAACCGTTAAGAGTTGTGTATAGTTTTTGTTTTTCTGAATTTAAGATTTGGTTAAATGTCAATTTTGGTCCCTCAACTTAAGGTTTTACATAATTTTTATCGCTTAACTTTTTTTTACACTTTTTTAGTCCCTTAACTATGAAAAATGCACTTTTTTAATTTTTTTATCAGTTAATCTGTTAAGTCTATCTGAACCTACACATTTTTAATCCTTCAACTTTTTAATATGTGCACATTCTTCATCTCTTAACTTAAAGTTGAAGGACTAAAAATATGTAAATTTAGATAAACTTAATGGATTAACTGATAGAAGATTAAAAAAATGCATTTTTCATTGTTAACAGATAAAAAAGTGCAAAAAAAAGTTGAGGGACCAAAATTGGCATTTAACCTTACGATTTTTTTAACTTATACTTTAAGAATACAAATTAAAGATGTAATTAATATGTCTTTTCAATATGAATTAGTGTTTAAAATAATAAAAATTAACATTAATTTCATCATTTATATCACATAAATCATTTTAATTAGACAATTAATTAAATAAATGTTAGTTTTTATTTTTTCAATAATAATTAATACCGAAAAATGGTGAAAAACCCTTTTATTTATTTGTTTAATTTACAATCATAATGTCTCAAGGCTTATTATTATACATTTTAAAATTAATCTATTTTAAGACGATTTCAAGGGTATACTCTTCAAATTGATTTAATATATTTAAAAAATTAATTTTTTAAGGGACATTTATTTTGATATTTTAGAAATAACTATTAGCTATTTGGTTTAATCAAATACGTTAAATACATTGAATTATAAATATTAAGTATTATTAATTATAAGATATCAACTATCAACTATTTAAAATAAAATAAAAAAACTAATCTAAACAACCTATTAAATTTTAAACTTAATTTTTATAAATAGTTATTTATTAATAAATCTTACCTGTTAAGGTTATTTGTAGTTGGGACAGCCATACATGACAATAATTATGATATGTGTAGTTGGCATAGCCCTACATCACAATCATTATGATAACAATCACTAATAGAAAATAGTTTTTAATTGAAAGAAAATTCTATCAATTATACCCATGTTTGTCGATTCTATTGGTATTTGATTTAAAAAAA